TATCAAAACAATATGCAATAATCTATTGATACCTATGAAGCACGGATACTTCCCTAGGGTAGCGTATCGGCGTATCGGATACGTTCCCGTATCCGATACTCTAGGATACCCGTACCGTACGTTCCCGGGCCGTATCTGCAATTTTTAAAAGTTTCCATTTTTTTTTGTAATTTTTTGAAAGTTTCCGATACTCGTATCCTGACGGATACCCGTATCAACCATTTAAAAAAAAAAATCCCAAAATTTACTTAATAAAATTCCAAAAAAAAAATGAAAATCTAAAACTACATTTTACTTGGTAATCAAATAATGGGCCTATATGGCTATATCCGAATTAAGTCATTAACTCATACTCCGAAGTGGGTACTTGCACTTTTGATTTCAAGATTGTAGTTGTTTGACTTATTTCACATTTTAAATTAATGACTTATTGACTACATTTATATTTCGAGATACACCAGTGTATATGAGAAGTATTATGAATTTATTACTAAGTATCTTGAAAAAGGAAAATGCTTCAATGTAATGAATGGGTAGACATCACAGGATATTATGTGTGTGTGTGTGTGTGTATATATATATATATATATATTCAAAAAAATCTATTTTTAATATTTATAAATAGACCCCTATAACTTTTAATATTTGTAAATACACCCCCATAACTTTTAATATTTATAATTATGGCCCCGTATCCGTATCCTACTTTTTTTGGTTTTGACGTATCCCCGTACCCGTTTCCGCGTTTCCGCGTTTCCGCGTACCGGTATCGGTGCTACATAGATTGATACCATTTTATCGACCTGCATTGTGGTTACAGTATATCAACCCTTGGGAGGTGCTCCAGTTTCTTCCACAGAACAACAGATTACAGAAAAATGGCGTTTACTCATGCCCGACGGTTCCTATGACCATTTCTCGAAACCGCGTGCTTTATCAATCGATGAAATTGCAAATTATGTTGATTTGTATCGGGTTGCAGCACTCAATGCAATCGAAGCAGGTTCATTTTCATCCTTCATTCGCATTGACTTCATTGTCATCATTTACTAATGTTGTTTTCTGCACGTTCAAAAAAAATGTTGTCTTCTGCTACTACACTGATATCCACAAATTATCTTTTAATTTTGGTGTCAATGTAACTTTGACTTTGATCATTCATTGAGTAATATAAATTATGAGATGTGGTGATTCTTGAACAATTCATATTAACATATTTTTGAATTAATTGGTTTATAAATTGCAGGTTTTGATGGAGTTGAAATTCATTCGGCGCACGGGTATTTGATTGATCAATTCTTGAAAGATGGGATAAACGACCGCACAGATAAGTATGGTGGGTCTGTTCAAAACCGATGTAAGTTTTTGTTAGAAATTGTCGAAGCAGTTGCCAAAGCCATTGGAGCTGACAGACTAGCCGTTAGGATATCCCCTGCCATTGACCATAATGACGCCACAGACACGGACCCCCATGGCCTAGGCCATACAGTGGTTGAGAGGCTCAACCGCTTCCAAGCCGAGTTCGGATCAAAATTGGCCTATCTCCACGTCACCCACCCGCGATTTGTGTCCCGAGGAGAAAGAGCGGATTTGAACAAGTTTGGTGGTGTCGACAAAGAAGCCTTGCTAATGAGCTCCCTTAGGAAGGCTTACAAGGGGACTTTCATGGCCAGTGGTGGTTATACAAAGCAACTTGCGAATGATGATATTGAGCATGATAAGGCTGATCTTGTGTCATTTGGGAGGCTTTTTATAGCAAATCCAGACTTGGTTTTGCGGTTCAAGGTCGACGCGCCCCTCAATAAGCACGATAGATCTACCTTTTATACTTCTGATCCTGTTGTTGGATATACAGACTATCCTTTCTTTGATCATGGCCGGGAAAACTCTCTATCTGTGCATGCTTGATTATGTATTGTTTTTTGTTAGAAAAGTGCTAAATGATCATTGTGGTGTGATTTATCTCAATGTGACACTTAACGTTAAGCTTCTCAATTTATCATTTTAAATAGTGGTGGTATTCGAGTTGTAAAATAAATAAGGATGCGCTATTAATTGATAATATGATTAGTCTGCAAAGTTTAATGCACTAAGAGAGTGTTTGCGATTGCTTCTACTTCAAAAAAATGATTTTTTTAAAGTGATTTTGGAGAAAGTACTTAATAGTAAAAGTTGGTAGTGTTTGAGAAAGAAGACTCTGTCCTCCGGCCATTGTCATTTGGAGAGGTTCCTGGTGGAATTTTTTGATTAATTGTTTTGAGCATCTTATTCATTAAATTTAGTTTACTCGTACTATTTTAGCTAAAATTTCAATCGGGAAGGCAGTCAAATGAATTTTTGAAAATAACTGTGCAGTTAAACAACACAGTATATTTCAGAAAATCATTTGACTGTCTTCCCGGTTTTGTTTTTAGCTGAAATTTGCGACGTTGAACTCTCTTAAGGATTTGTACCCTAAACCTCCCTTTTGTTTGGGTGTACAAAGAGCAGTCCAACTTTTCCACCAGATTCCTCACCCCGTCGCCTCTCTACCTCTCCACCAATAGTCATTCATAATTTTCTCAACCTCCAAACAAAGCTCTAATTATAACAAGAATACATTCATTCCATAAGAGGGCATAGCTTGTACTACATTCTTCAGCAAAACTTCTGTACCCACCTTAGATAGAAATCTATTATTCCAACCACTAATCTTTTTCAGAATACGCACCTTCAAGTAACCAAAGATTTTAGAATTGCGGCGACCAACTAAGCCTGGTGGCCCCAAGTACCGATAACCAGCACCCTTCCGTGATACACCAAAAGACCTATTGATGCAAGCACGAACATTTTTTGTCACATTCGAGCTAAACGAGACATCTGACTTAGAGAAATTGATTTTTTGTCTAGACTCCGTAGCATAGGTATTAAGGATCGCCTTGACAACATTACATTCTTCGTCGTTAGCTTTAAAAAAGAGGAAATTATCGTCAGCGATGAACAAATGTGACACTCTTGGAGCTCCCCTAGCTACTGTAACACCGTGGATTTTACCCAAAGATTCGTTTCGTCTGACTAAAAGACTGAGACCCTCTGCAACTATGATAAACAGATCAGGAGATAACGGATCCCCTTGTCTTAAGCCACGCTCGGGGATAATAGGTCCTAGCACAGACTTGTCAAACGGAATATGATATTCCACCGAAGAAACACACTCGTGAATCAATTGAATCCATTTAGGAGGGAAATTCGTCACCTTCATACCAGTAAGTAAAAATTTCCATTTAACTCGATCGTAAGCCTTGCTCATATCAAGTTTAAGAGCTACAAACTCCTCTTTTTCCCATGTCTTGCTTTTAAGAAAATGATGAGTCTCAAATGCAATCATGATATTATCCACTATAGACCTACCTGGGACAAATGCGCTTTGGTTAATAGATACTAAATATTTTAAAACTCCTTTGAGGCGAGTAGCCATTAGCTTTGCAAAAAATTTATAGATAACCGTGCACAAGGATATAGGACGCCAATCCCCAAGAACCTGAGGCCTATCCTTCTTGCAAATAAGAACAATATTAGTAATATTGACCTCTCTTGGTAACCGGCCTTCCTAAAAAATCTTCTGGCAAAAAGCGACAAGTTCTGCACCATATTGTGTCGTTGGAAGAACCCAGGATTTAACCCATCCGGACCCGATGCTTTTTCGGGATGCATTGCAAAGACAGCTGTCTTGACTTCATCTGCCGAGATTCGTTTCAATAAAATCTCATTATATTATTTTTTTTTTTGGATAAAATCTCAATAAAATCTCATTATCATTATAATAAGTAGGAACAGGGCTCAACCCTTGCAAATAATCCTCCGATAAACTACCAATCTACCATCACTGGTGGAAAATAACCTTTAAAATAATCTATTACCATTACCATACTCCCCCCACCTTACTCCTATCAGCAGGGCCGGTCCTGGGGCATGGGCAGGAGGGGCATGCGCCCAGGGCCCTTTGCTCCAGTAGGGCCCATAAATTTCTGAAATATGTGTGCGTGTTTGTGTACATCACTATTTTAATTATATGTACATCCTAAATCTATAAAAGGTAAAATATAAAATCAAACTTATATTTTTTAGATACTTCTAATTAGTTATTCACCATCTACACGATACAAGTCTATAATTTCGAAACATCCACATTAGAATTCATTGAGAACATATTTCACCATTTCTTTTGAATCATTATATTACGGATTATTGCATTAATTTTATTCTTTTAGTGTACATGTCTTATGTATATCCAGAACTTATTGATATATTTCACAAATTTCCTCCGATTCTCTAATTTAATGAAAGATTGAACTTTAGTGTCCATAATTTAGAAACGTAGAATTTGTTTTTGTCTAGTATAATTTGATCTAAAATATGAAAAAGTTACTCCTAATTATACAAGATATAATTTCACAACTTTCCATATTTAAAATTTTTATTGCACCTAATAGTTGCACTACTTGTTTCACTCGGCTCTTAGGTACATTGTATCCTCAAATGTCACTTATCAAATACCCTATATATTTTCTAACCATGTGCTTTGTTAGTTTTTTTATGTGTTATACTACTTTTGGATGGTAAAATTGTATAATTTTAAATTATAGATAATTATAGCACAAAGAACATTATAAACATTCCCCGCTATCTTTGAGGCCCAATCTATTTATATTGTCCCGGGCCCATAAAATGTCAGGACCGGGCCTGCTTATCAATGATTTAGGTGCCTTCGTCTGACACTAGTCCTGGCATCTTATTTCTACGCCTTCTCATTTTATCAGCATTATGAAAATGAAATTTGCTATTTTGTACCCATTTGAATACCCACTCTATACACACTATATATACCTAAAAAAATTACCCCCTCCCCTTAGATGAAAAATTACCCAGCAGACCACTCCCTCCCATTTCTCTCATCGACTTATTTCTCTCCCATTTATCTTCACTCCCCTCCCTTTCCTCTCTCTTATTTCCCTTCTCACGCAAGCCATTTTCTCTTCTTCTTTTTTCTTCCTCCTATTTTTTGGCCACATAAATAAGAGCATATGCTCCTGTTTTCTCTCAAGCAAATTTACTACATTTCCATCTTCCACATATTTGCTTCTTCATGCGTTTTTTTTTCTGAGATTATGTTTGCGTTGCGCGATCGAAGGATGACAAGAGACAAACAATTCTCCAATCGGAAAGAATGGGAGTTCGGGTTTAAACTTGGGTCACGTTTCAATCCCAAATTTCAAAACCAAGGTAAATTATCTACTCCCTTTTTATGTACATATAGGGTTAGTTTTTTTTTTTCAAATTTAGTAAATTATACATGGTATGATGTTACATTCTCTATTGTTTTGTTTCATTGATATAGGTTTATGATGTGAACCATTGAAATTTAAGTCATATTGTATATCAATTATATGCCCATTACATGTTTGTTGAAATGATTGATTTTTTATTTTTTTCATATCCTAGAAGTTTTTTGTTATGTGCTTTTATTTTTTATTTTTGCACTTTAAATCATGATATATGTTTAATGTATGAGTATTTTATTTGTAAGTGTCAATTGGATATCAAAACAGCTGGCCCGTTTTATTCTTTTTTCTTGGAATTAAGTATGAGATATCCTCCTATTTCAACTATTTTTATAATTGTTTCTTGAAGTCTATCTTGTGTCAAATTGAGGAAACTCCTAAATTTTCATAAGGCGCAATATAAATTTTTTATAGTATCACTTTTTGTTGTTGTTTTGCTTAAATTGCCTACGCCTGTATCATGTAGTATGAATGTTTAACTGTTATGAATGTCCCACTAATTTAATATTTCATTTATATGATTTATTAATTGAGATTTAATGATCAGTGTTCAACACTTGTAATAACTTTTGTAATATTTTGAATTGATTAATGATCAGTGTTCAACACTTGTAATTGAATTTTTAAGTCAATATTTTCAGGGTTATGTTGCATTGAGTACTCTGTCTTTGTTGGGTTCTAGACGAGTAAATAGTAAAATCCTTTTTGTTAGAGGGATTACACTCTCATGTGAAAGAATTGAAGTAATCTTGTATATTATGTATGTACTAATATAACTATTTGATTCATTCGACAGATTTGTGTGTGAGTTGGAAAAGACTCATAACAAAATGGATGATTTTATATGACATTTTTAGCCACAAGGAGGAGAACCTTACCACCACAAAAGCCGTCTCTTAGAAATATTGTCAAAATCAATGGGAAGCTCAAAGGAAGACATATTGCAGGACAAAAATCAATCAACAAATAAGACGATCTTCTAATTTAAATGCTGGTGTATGTTTAGCTTTGGGAATGTGATGTTTTAGTAGTGGTAACTTTTTATAATCTTTGTATGTGATTGCTTAGAGATAAAACAATTGTGTGTTACATACTCCGTAAGTGTTATTAGTGGAGGAGTTTGAGATTCAAATAAGAGCCCTTCCTCCAGTGTGTTTGATGATGTGGCAGACAGAGAAGCAAGTTGCAACACCAGTGTGGTTGTGCCTGAAGGAGTTCTGAAATAAGCATTTGTGGGAAATAATTGGGATTATAAGGGTTTTGAAGATGTATAAAATGTTAATCAGGTTTTCTCCTTTTCAACCAATGGGTATCAGACTTCAATGTCCTATGGAGTCCAAGAAGTTCCCATAACCTTTCTGGTTAAGAGGTGTGACGGGAAAGAGATACTAATGGACAACAAATTTCTGAAGACAAAAAATCTGCTTCTGCTAATAAACTTCTACTAGCATCATCTACGATACAAGTGTACAATCCCTTTGAGTGAGTAAAGACAAAGGAAGATGTGGTCTAGTTAGCATGACTTCCCCTTTGCTAATGGTTAGTGTGGTAGAATGGTAGATTGTACTACCTCCGTTTTTTTTTAATATTCACAGTTTGACTTCACACAAAATAAGGAAACAAATTTGACTTTACTGTAGAGTACACCGTTGAGGCACTGTTTGACACTGTTTGACACTGTTGAGACACTGTTTGGCACTGTTTGGCACTGTTTCGATGTAGATTTCTTTTCCAAAAAGGAAATAAGGAAGTGTGAAGTTTATTTTAGACCGTCCCAAAAAGGAAAGTGTGAAATTTATTAAAAACCGGAGGGAGTAGTTTTGTAACACTTATTTGTTTTTTTTAATGCAAACTAGTGTATAACTCATTGGAGGATTGCCGAGCCGACAACACTTCCAACTTAAATAACTCATTGCTCCCGGCGGGTCTGGCACCCAGGTCCCGCCCAGGTCCCGCTGTCTCCACGTTTTTTGACAAAACAGTCTCCAAAGCCGAATCATGTGAGCCCAGAGTTTCAGAAGCCGAGCCCACATCTTTTCTTTTCTTTTTCACCAACACACCTGCTGCATGGGAAATATCCACCGAAGCTTCCTCCTCTGCCTCAACAGACCCCTCCTACATTGTTGCAACCTCATCACTTTCCATACCAGTCCCCCTGATAAGCTTAGCTTTATTCATAAAATTGTCATCCCCATCCACCAACCATCTACTACTACTCCCCACACTGCCCCTCCTACCACCCGCTTTCAACCAAACACCATACTGTCTCGGCTGATCACCATTCATGCATTCAAATCTCTTGGGACAGAACTTATCCACATGACTCATAAGTCCACAAATAAAACTAAAGTGTGGCAATCTTTCATATTTCACATCCACTATAACTGATTCTGACCCCCTTTTTAAAGTTAACTGACTCTTCAAAGGTTTGTTCACGTCCAAAGAAACCCGGATACACATAAATTCCTTTACCCCCCCCCCCCCCCCCCCTAAAATTATTTTCGTCAGCTTGCACAAAACTCCCCATCCGATTACCAATCAACTCTGCCATCCGTATCATAAAAAAGCGCATAAGGAGTTTGTAAACGTGAACCCAAAAAGATTCATGTAGCAAAGGAACAGTAATCGGGTCCTCATCACCCTCCAGTTTTCGCAGGATTAGTAGGCTGTTCTCGAAAGACCACGGTCCATCAGTCAGGATCCTCTAGATATCAACATCATGGAAAACTGGAAAAGAAACATTTGTTCCCCGACCTCACGAATATTGACCCCCTTCCCCGGTCTCCAAACATCTGTGATTGTATCACGGAAGGAGGTAAACTTGACGGATTTACTGGTTAGCAATCGGCCGACACTACAAAGAGACACTCGTTCCGACACGTCCTGAATAGCTGCATTATCCGCCTCCACCTCGTCCGAGATATCATCCTCCAAATTCATCCTGGCATATATGTCATCCAACTCGGTCGACATGTTGACGTCAACGAGGAGAGAATTACGTAGGAAAAGATCGGCAAAAAAACTTTATCACAGAAGCAGAGAAGAATAATGGCGAAACCCTAGACTCCTAGGGAAGGAAACTTTTTTACTTCTAACAAACATGTTATGAGCATAAATGTGAAATAGAGTAATTGAACTAAAACTTTAAGGTAGATTCTATGGTACCCAAAAGGTACCATACCTTTGTACACTTGAACCAATCAGAATGTTGCAGTTGAATTATTTAAATCTAAATTAAAAATGATTTAATGGTTTGGACCAATCATGTGAGTGGTAGGTACGGTACCTCATTTTTTAAATGGGTACCGGAGTCGTCACCAAACTTTAATAACTAACACTACATTCTCTAATAATAATACACAATGACCAACTGATTAAGAAGCTTGCTTTGATTAGAGATCTTATTTTGTGCCATTTTGACAATACTTATGATGCGATTGTTTATCTCAATGGCTGCCAAACCAATGGTAAACTATCCTCTTCTAAGGTGTATGACCTCCTCAGAATTAGGGGGAACCTCATCGGTGGATGTCTTTCATTTGGAAGAACTATATATCTCCTAAATTCTCTTTCGTGGTTTGGTTAGCTTTTCCTAATCACCTTGCTACGTGTGATAATTTGTATAGATTAGATGTTAATATTTGCCCTTTTGTAAGGGTGGTCCGGAAACGGTACCACACCTTTTTTTATGTGACCCTTTTCAGGCAATATTTGGAACAGGGTTAAAAGGTGGCTGGAAATTCCAAGGGAAATGAGGACTTTGCATAGCTCGATGAGATGGATCAAAAGGATGCGGCAGGGAGCTGGTGTCAAGGCTAAGACGGCTAGGATAGCCTTTTGCTACTCCATATACTGGATCTGGAGGACTCGGAATGCAACTTTATTTGATGGTTTAATCCCCAAGGAGGAGGATGTTTTTGCTAAGATCCAATACATTGTTTATAAGATCTTGTATAATCTTTACCCATATGAACTTGTAACTTTCTGATTGGTTTTTGCTCTCGGCAGCCACCTGTTTTGTGCTTGGCCGTGGTCCTGCTTGACTTTCTTGAAGGGTTGGGTTATCCTTGTTGGATAACTTGCATTATTGTTTCCCTTTGTTTGTACAGATTTGAACCCTTGTCCTTTTGGATGACTTTTTAATATACTTACATTTCATCCAAAAAAATTGCACAATGACCAACTATTAAGGCTTATCCAATACATTATATACAAAAAAACATAAATTTTAAATAAATATAACCCTGGATAAGTTGGTGGATGGGGGAGTGCAGAAAAAAAAACAAAGTGAGAACAAAAAAATGCGAAGTATGAAAAAAGAAGAAATACAGAAGAGAAGAGGGTGAGGAGTGTAATGGTGTGGAGGGTACCTAAATTGCACTGTGAAAATCGAATTAGATTATTACCTCAATATTATGGGTTGTTGATGGGAGCTTCTTGTTTGAGCTGCGAAAAATCCCATCCGTCGATATCCGCACAGATTCCAGCAGCAACCATGCCGGTGGTGTTGGACTCAGAATTAAGTAGGATGGATTAAAGGGCTATAAGGGAGAAAGTGAAATGAGAAGGAAGGAAGGAAAAAGACGAAAGAGAGGAAAGGATGTGGCGTAGGAGAAGAGAGGTGAGAGAAGGGAATGGGAGGAGAAAGGTAAAAAAAAATTGGATGGAGGTAAAAAAAAAATTATAGTGTGTACAAGAGTGTGTACTAATATGTGTACAAGAATCAATTTTGTATGAAAATATCTTGTATCGATGTGACATCGATGTTGCACGGATACGGATACGCGGATACGTCGATACGCAGATACGGGTACGGCGATACGGCAACTTCGAAAATTATAGGATACGGGTACGGGGGTATATTTATAAATAATAAAAATATAGGGTATGATTTGCAATTACATATAATCCAAGAGTTCATAAATAAAGTGATGATAGTACGAAAAATTACAATCGTAATAAAATTTCAGAAATCAACTAAAGTACCAATATTGCAATTTCTAATTAAATAACATTTGATTCGCTACTCGCATTTGATTTTGGCATCTACGGTCTTCTGAGTCTCATGATTGCGTAAGAAATTTGGGGCCTTAAGTTTAGATACGTGTATCCCAGACCGGATACGGGTATCGGAAGTTTTTATTTATTTAAAATAAGTCCGATACTTTTAGTAAATTACGGATACGGACCCAATACGTACGGGACGTGTATCGGTGAGTATCGGATACGCGGATACGGCATCCGAATGAAGTATCGGTGCAACATAGTTGATGTCAATACTCTTTTAGCCAAAATTCTTTTGGGCGTTCTTCTAGAAAATATTCTGTTGATGCAGAAGATCCAGTAGTGTTGCTTTAGCTCCTCAAAAAAGTCTATTCGTATAAAACGAGATATGAAAATAGTAAGACATCCAAGTCTACAATAGACATTTCAATTCCCAGAATTCCTACCTACCAATTGTTTGCCTCGGACTTTTCAAAGAAAAGGGCGGGCAAAAGAACACATGTTTTATTTCACTACTTCTCGAAAGTGGGCGGACGGTGTTCTTCTCCTTCATTCATTATAAAAGGCTTTTTAGGATACACTCATTTACCTTACACACATCCGAAGTATATCAGAATATCATCTACCTTCTCGATCGATCAGAGTCTTATATTAGTGTGTGTCTATATTCCGTCGTCGGAAACCGCCGGTCAAACCACCGAACCATGAGTCAAACCGCCGCAGTGATTCAGGGCTCTGCTCCCAATCTCTTCTCCCCTTACCAGATGGGGAGGTTCGATCTTGCCCACAGGTCAGTATATATTGTCTATTCCATTTTGATACAATATTGGTTTTCAAGGTCACTCTCTAATGTAAGGTATATGTGTTATTAACTATTCTCTGTTTATGTATGATCTAATTTGGGCTCATTTGAAAACTGAAATAAATCTAAAGTTTTAAGATTTTCAACACAAAGTGATAAAAATGTACTCACCCAAACCCCCATAAATCTTAGTTTTAGAAACTGCTCAATATAAGATTAAAACGGACAAACTATAAAAATAGGACGAAGTATGTTTTATTCCTCAAAGTGAAATTATTATATCCTATTAAAAGAATAAATTATATTAACTTTCCAAAATACGAGTGAGCCCGTTTGGTGACTCTATTTTTCGGTTTATCATGCTTATCATCAAACTTTTTAAACAAACATGTAACTTTTGATTTCGCGCGCTGAATAGTGTAATAATAAGAAAAGGTAAGGCTGAAGTTACTTTTCTGACTGTATTGGCTGAAATTACTAGATAACTATTTTAACATTTTTCCATATAATTTTTTCTTTATTCGACTAATGAAATATATTTTGAATATAATTTTTTCATAAATCAGCACAATAAGCAAATACAACCACTTCAGCCAGAACTTCATAAATTTCAATAGAATCAACCGATTCAGCCGACTTCAGTGTTACCAACCGATTCAGCCGACTTCACTAAATCGACTCTAGTTTGTTAGTTAGAAGTAAATTTATACTTCGTGTCAAGTTTGCGTAAGTTGGCTTGATAAATGAATAGGACCCACCAACTAAAATGATTTTATAATTTAGAAACTTACCTAAATCTATGAAGCACGGATACTTCCCTAGGGTGTCATATCAGCGATCGGAAAATGTTCTTGTATCTGATACTCTAGGATACTTGTACCGTACGTTCCTGAGCCGTATCTGCAATTTTTAAAAGTTTCCAGTTTTTTGGTTATTATTTTAAAATTTCGGATACTCGTATTCTGACGGATACCCGTATCAACTTTAAAAAAAACTTCCAAAAAAACTATTTAAAAAGCACTCAAAATTTACATAATAGAATTCTTAAAAAATGAAAAACTAAATATAATTTTCCAATGCTTTTATGTGGTACACAACCAATGGGCCTATTCCTAATTCACTCATCCTTCTATCCCTAATTTTAATTATCCCTGGAAATTAAAAGCTCCAACGACAATATGTATTATAACTTTTAAAATATTATTTTCTATCTTCGTTATTCTCGAAATTTGAGTACTTGCACTATTAATTTCAAAATTGTAGTTGTTTGACTTACTTCAAATTTTAAATTAATGACTTATTAATATGATTATATTTCGAGGTGCACTAGTGTATATGAGATAAAATATGAACTAATTTCTAAGTATCTTGAAAATGTAAAATGCTTCAATGCATGAATTAGTAGACGTCAGAGGAAAATATACGTCTATTTTTTTCAAAAAAATTGTATTTTCAATATTTATAAATAAACCCCTGTAACTTTTAATATTTATAAATACACCCCCATAACTTTTAATATTTATAAACATGGACCCGTATCCGTATCCTACTTTCTTTTGTCGTATCCCCGTACCCGTTTCCGCGTATCCGGTTTCCGCGTACCCATGTCGGTGCTACATAGACCTAAATTGGAGTACATGAAAGTTAAGTTGTAAGAATATGAATATAATATACAATTCAAAGTCTCAAAATACTTTCTATCACCAGATAAAAATGTCTTGTTGTAAAATTGCATTAGCAGTTTCATGTTTGGGATGATTGTTTGAACAGAGAATGTGTACAACGAAATATGATTATCACTTGAGTGTACGTTTCCCATGACATATTACCTATGTAGCACCGATATTTCATTAGCATATCATATGGGTGTATCAGAAAAGTTCTCATATAAGATACTCTAGAATACTCGTACTGTACATTTTCAGGCTGTATCTGCAATTTATTTAAAGTTTTCAATTTTTTGGTAATTGTTTTAAAATTTCGGATACCATTATCCTCATAGATAAACGTATCAACTTTCTTTTATAAAAAACACCCAAAACGTACGTCATAAATTAAAAAAAATGAAAAATTACAAATAAATTGTACCATGCTTTAATTTCGCACATAGCCAAGTATATGGATGACAAAATAAAATGTTGGAGTACTTGAGTTTGCAACCGTGTCATCCCTATAAATTGCATTCTATCTCCAATTAAACTTTGACTATATTTAAATTTCATGATGCACACTAGTTATATAGGATAGTATGTATGAGATAAGGTATGAGTTGATTTGTAACTATCTTGATAATGTGAAATGCTTCAATGCCATGATTGGCGGATGTCAGGTGATAATATATGTATGTATTTAAAAAAAAACTTGTAATTTTTTATATTTATAAATATACCCCAATATTTTTAATACTTATAAATACACTCCCATAATTTTTAAAATTTATAAATATACCCTTGTATTTGTATTCTACTTTTTTTAATTTTACTGTATCCCCGTACCCGTTTTCATGTTTCCATGTATCCGTATCGGTGCTAGATACGCAGTAGTTATTACCACACAGTGTCTTTTACTCGGGGAATAATTAATTATTTTGAATTGGATAAAATTTCTATGAATACTTACAAAAAAAATTAGAAATTATTTACATTCATATATAAATGTGAAAAGTAGTACTCCACCTGTCCTTAAAAAAACTTTCAACTTTTCGTTTTTGGGCGTTCTAAAATAAAATTTTATTTTCCATTTTTGGTAAAAGATTTGTAGTTCACAACAATCCTTACAGATTCTTACACATTTCTTTCTCCCCTCACAACTCTCCGCCACACAATACTGACTATATTAATCTACGTGCCATTTGTACTATGGAAGAACAATTAGGACGGATGGAGTGCGTCAAGACTTTGAAATTAATTAGTAGGTTCTTGGTGTAACTTGGCAGGGTAGTGTTTGCACCATGCACAAGATGTAGAGCTTTGGACAACATACCACAGCAGGCACACATCGTGTACTATTCCCAGAGGGCAACCCAGGGTGGATTACTTATTACAGAGGGAACCATGATTGACCCTACATCGGCTGGGTATGTACATATTCTCTCTATCCCTGAATAAAAGTCTTGATTTGAATTGCACAATATTGAGAAAATAATTTTTTCCCTTTGACTTTCTGAAATGCCTCTTTTACTAAGAGATAAACTTTACTGTCAAGTAACTAATTTAATGTAGCTAGTTTAAGAGATTTGAAAGAAGTAAGTAGTTTAATTTCAAATTCTTGGTTTTGTGTAGATTCCCAAATGTGCCAGGGATTTTTACGCCGGAGCAAATCAATGCATGGAAAAATGTAGTTAATGCAGTCCATGATAAGGGTGGTGTTATATTTTGCCAACTTTGGCACGCTGGTCGTGCATCTCATCAAGGTAATGTATAGTAGTTCATTTGTTCACTTTTTTCGTATAAATTTAATCATCCATCTTATTTAAGAGAAATTGATTATCATTCAAGGGTGTTTTCTTAACCTTCAAGGGTGGTTTTTTATATTGGAGCATAAATAAATTAATGATTATTATTATTATTATTAATTATGTATAGCCACTACATACGTGCAAAGTTGTACAGATAAATATGGGTGTTCTTATCCCCATATTAGCGTTAGTTAGTTACTAAGGCTTTATCCTCTCAACTCTTAGCCTTATTTAAAGCATTGTACGTAGATTGTAATTGTATCAATTTCATTCATCAATATACTTCTTCATGGTATCAAGAGCCTCTCTCTAAAGAGCTTCAAAAATTTTTCGATCCAATCATGGCAATCACGCCTACCACGACGGTCATTCCTCTCACGGCCTCAAATCATTTTCCTATCAAACTCACCGCTTCCAACTTCCCTGTCTGGAAGTGTCAAGTTCACTCTGCGCTTGTTGGTCTCGGCCTAGAAGGCTATGTTGACGGATCCATTTCTGCTCCTACTCAATACACGGATGATGCTAAGACTCAGGCTAATCCATGTTATGCCATATGGCTCCGCCAAGATCGTACTATTATTAGTGCGTTACTTGGAAGCTGCTCGGATGCTATTCAGCCATTAATCTCATCGGCTATCACTGCCAAAGCTGCTTGGGATAAATTATCCCTTACATATGCAAGCACTTCACGAGGACGTATCATCTCCCTCAAGACATCGCTCTCTAAAACCACAAAAGGCGGACGGGCCATCACAGAATACCTTGCTGAAATGTATGGTATTGCTGAGGCGTTGGCACTTGCTCAAAGTCCCGTCTCAGACGAAGATCTGGTCATCAGCATACTTAACGGGCTTGGGTCTGAATATAGCGACATTCTGTCTGCTATTAGAGTCCGTGAACAAAAACTTCCACTTATGGAACTCCAAGATATTCTCCTGGAGCGTGAACAGAAAATTCAAGAGGCTGCCACGTCCATGCAATCCATAGTTCCAACTGCTAATCACACTCAAACTACTGACCGCCGTCCTCCACACATGCTGGAACGTCGTGGCCAATCTGGCCGGCGTGGAAGAGGAGGTGGTTCTTTTGGTCAGACACGTACTTATTCCACCGGTGGTGTAGTGTGCCGGTTTTGTGAGATCCCAGGACATGAAGTCAAATATTGCCGTAAATTACAAAGGTTTCTAAGAGATAATCAAGTTCTATCTCCAGCCGGGACTTCCAGTCCGGTGGTTCATACAACAACCGCCACCTCTTCATCTCCGTCTCAACCATGGCTTTTTGATAGCGGGGCTTCACATCATGTCACCTCGGATGCTACAACTCTTCCCAATTTCACTGAATATGGGGGTCCTGACGAAGTGCAGCTTGGTAACGGTAAGTCTCTGTCTATTACTCACACGGGTTCTACCACACTACCCACTACATCCCGACCATTATCTTTATCCAATGTCCTGTGTGTTCCCAGCCTTCATAAAAACTTGGTGTCTGTTGCTAAACTGTGCAAAACTAACCCCGTTTCTGTTGAATTTTTTTCTACCCATTTTCTTGTTAAGGATCGGCACACGGGGGCGTTGCTCATGCGCGGGGAGAACTTCCATGATGTCTACTATGCTCCGTCTCGTTTGTATCCACAAGTCAACCTCTCCCAAGTTTCGGTTCAGTCTCAATGGCATCACACTCTCGGTCATCCATCTAGTCGTATTTTTAGTATGTTAGTTAGTCAAAATAAAGATGTCATTCCATGTAATTCCTCCGTTTGTGATTCTCATTGTCAGTCATGTTATATGAATAAAAGCACGAAATTACCTTTCTTCATTAATACTATAAATGCTACTCGACCACTTGAAATTATTTACACCGATGTTTGGTCAACACCTGACATATCTATTGATGGGTACCGCTACTATGTTCTTTTTGTGGATTATTTTACCCGTTATATTTGGTTATATCCCATCAAAAATAAATCTGATGTCTCAGGCGTGTTTCCCCAGTTCCACCGCTTGGTTGAAAACTACTTCAATTATCGGATTAAATCTCTATTTTCTGATAATGGAGGAGAATTCATTAAATTACGACCATATCTAAATCAACACGGTATATCTCACTTTACCACTCCCCCACATACCCCTGAACATAACGGTGTAGCAGAACGCCGTCACCGTCATATTGTGGAAACCGGTCTAGCTCTACTTCATTATGCGGGATTACCTCGGTCATTCTGGTCGTATGCACTTCAAACGGCGGCATATCTTATAAACAGATTACCAAATTTTGCTATTAAATATGCTACCCCCGTATGAAATGCTACATCAACGTTCTCCTAATTATCAGAAATTAAAACCGTTTGGTTGTCTCTGTTATCCCTGGTTACGTCCTTATAATACATCAAAAGTTCAACCCCGTTCCATCCCCTGTGTCTTTGTTGGTTATTCTCTGTCTCAATCAGCATATTATTGTTTAGATCCTACCACATATCGGGTCTACACGAGTCGTCATGTACGATTTATCTCTAATAATTTTCCGTTCCGTTCTGCATTTCAATTCCCATTGGGTGTTTCCCCGCCCGCATGCATGCAATTTCCTCCTACTGTGCCACCCTTATCATCCACTCCAAATAATTATCTCCAACCTCATCTGCCAACCCCACCCCCTAATCTTATGCCACCTATTTCCCAATCACCCACCGATTTTCAACTGTCCATGTTCCCTGCACCTCCAGGATCCTTATCCTCTATACCTCCATCTACCTCTAACCCACCCATGACCTCCCCTATTATTCCCTCACAAAGTGACCCTACACAACCCATCCCCTCAAACCTCTCTGCCACTCCAGACAACCAACGCCCCACCACTTCAAATATCCTGGAAAATACCCAATCCACTGCACCCACATCCGCCATAGTACCCACTCATAATCTTACCTCCAATTCACTCCCTACACGCCCCACTCGTAGAAGACATCCCAATCCCAAATATATTGGAGGTCCATTCTTAAATCATATCACCCATCACCCCATCACTCCCATACTTGAACCAACCAGTGTGAAACAGGCCTTATCCGACCCAAGATGGACAGCCGCCATGGACGAAGAAATGCAGGCCCTGAAAAGAAATCACACGTGGAGTTTAGTACCACCAAGTAATCAACAGCCTATTACTTGCAAATGGCTATTCCGGGTCAAGCGCAATGCGGATGGAAGTGTCGCTCGGTTCAAAGCTCGATTGGTTGCCCGTGGTTTTTTACAGCAACCGGGCAGGGACTATTCCGAGACTTTTAGCCCGGTTACCAAACCTGCCACTATTCGAATTATCTTGTCTATTGCTTTGGCGCGGAACTGGCCCTTACGACAACTAGATGTAAACAATGCGTTTTTGCATGGTCGCTTGACTGAAGAGGTGTATATGGTACAACCTCCTGGATTTCGCGATCCTAACTTCCCGAAGCATGTTTGTAAGTTGCACAAAGCATTATATGGGCTCAAACAAGCCCCTCGGGCTTGGTATATGGAACTTTCTCGGTTCTTAGTGTCTGTGGGATTCCGAAAATCAAGAGCTGATGCCTCACTATTTATATATTCGTCACAAGGCATTCTCATATATTTTTTGGTGTATGTCGATGATATTGTCCTTACAGGCAACAACTCAAGTGCTGTGGAGTCCTTCATCCTTCAACTTACCCAACGGTTTTCTGTGAAAGATCTTGGGTTGTTACATCACTTTCTTGGGATAGAGGTTATTCCTACTGGGTCCGGTATTTTTTTGTCCCAGCGCCAATATCTTCTCCACATTTTAGAGACCTGCCATATGCATGAAGCAAAGGAGGCAGTGACTCCCATGAGCTCTAAAGTACCTTTTAATCTCACGGATGGTACGCACTCCACTGATCCCACCCAATACCGACGCACACTTGGCCTGTTACAATATTTGGCATTTACTCGTCCGGATATTTCTTTTGCGGTAAATCGTTTATCACAGTTTATGCATGCCCCTACGGATACTCATTGGCAAGGTGTTAAACGGGTGCTTCGGTATCTCAAAGGTACTTTGGACTATGGGCTTTTTCTTAAGCGTGCTTCTTCCCTGGATTTAACTGCTTTCTCCGACTCCGACTGGGGCGGCATTTATGATGGGGGTCGCTCTACTACTGCTTATGTGCTTTATCTGGGCAATAATCTTATCTCATGGAAGTCAGCTAAACAGAAAACGGTAGCTCGATCCTCTACCGAAGCCGAATATAAGGCCGTTGCTAATGCTAGTGCTGAAATGACTTGGGTTCGTCATTTGCTTAGTGAACTGGGGGTATCACTTACATCCACACCGACACTCTTTTGTGATAATCAAGGTGCCACATATGTGTGTGTTAACCCGGTATTTCATTCTAGGATGAAACATTTAGCATTGGACTTCTTTTTTGTCCGTGAATTAGTTGAGCGTGGGCTGTTGAAAGTCAAGCACATTTCTACAAAATTTCAGATTGCAGATATACTAACAAAACCCCTTGGCAAGACTCCATTTTTCTTCTTTCGGTCCAAGCTAGGAGTATCCAACGGATCCTCTATCTTGCGGGGGCGTATTGGAGCATAAATAAATTAATGATTATTATTATTATTAATTATGTATAGCCACTACATACGTGCAAAGTTGTACAGATAAATATGGGTGTTCTTATCCCCATATTAGCGTTAGTTAGTTACTAAGGCTTTATCCTCTCAACTCTTAGCCTTATTTAAAGCATTGTACGTAGATTGTAATTGTATCAATTTCATTCATCAATATACTTCTTCATTTTAATCATCCACCTTATTTAAGAGAAAATGATTATCATTCAAGGGTGTTTGTTTAATCATCCACCTTATTTAAGAGAAATTGATTATCATTCAAGGGTGTTTTCTTAACCTTCAAGGGTGTGTTTAAGAAAAGGTTTTCAAGTATCAAAACAAATTAAATGGAATATAATATTGATGTGCTAAAAGTACATATGCCCATAAAAATTGGTAAACTTCTAAAAAAAAGGTTGACACCCCATCCCTGAGGACCCCCAACTCTGGTCGGACAGTTAGATGGGAGGATGTAAGTTGGACTTTAATCACAAGCTGGCATATAGAAAGTAGGGCTCTGTCCATGTTACTTGCAGAGCCCCTATGCATTTTTAGCATAGTAACCTCTCATCGCAGTTGCTAAGATTCGAACCCGAGACTTACCCCCTGTGGCACCCACTATCTATTAGTTGAGCTATGCCCACCGACTGGTAAACTTCATAGTATTCCAAATTATAAATCTGGTGTTACAAACCCAAGCACACAAACATGGTACGTACCATGTCAATAGTGGAGGACCTAGGGGGCCCTAGGGGGCAAGTGCCCCCGCTTCCGACCCCGAAATTTACTATTAGTACTTATGATAAAATTAGTACTTGTGATGTCAAGTCTGTAACACAAAATATGTTATAACCTATTAATACATTTTTATTAACATGTACGGTCGTACCGTTGTACAAATACCAAACATTGTATTTTACCATCACTTGCATTGTTGTTACAGTATTTCAGCCCGAGGGAGGTGCGCCAGTATCTTCCACAGAACAACAAATTACAGAAAAATGGTGTCTACTCATGCCAGATGGTTCTTATGGCCATTTCTCAAAACCCCATGCATTAACAATCGATGAAATCACAAAATATGTTGATCTGCATCGGACTGCAGCACTCAATGCTATCGAAGCAGGTCCCTTGTCATACTCCACTAATATTGTCTTCTTTATCATCGCTTAATTTATTATTAATATTGTCTTGTGCTAACTACTCCTACTCAAAAATTGTCTTTTACACATTGGTGTAAAAGTTTGTTAATTTTGACTGTGATCATTTCTTGAGTAAGTAGTATAAAGTTATAGAATGAGATGAGTTTGGAACAATTTATACTAACATATATTTTGAATTGATTGTGTTTAAAATGCAGGTTTTGATGGAGTTGAAATCCATTCAGCGCATGGGTATTTTGTTGATCAATTCTTGAAAGATGGGATAAACGACCGCACTGATAAGTACGGTGGATCCGTTGAAAAACGCTGCAACTTTTTGCTAGAAATTGTTGAAGCAGTTGCTAATGCCATTGGAGCTGACAGGCTAGCCGTTAGGATATCCCCTGCCATTGACCATAATGACGCCACAGACACTGACCCCCATGGCCTAGGCCATACAGTGGTTGAGAGGCTCAACCGCTTCCAGGCTGAGTCCAGTTCAAAACTGGCCTATCTCCATGTCACACACCCGCGGTTTGTGGCCCAAGAAGAAAGGGCAGATTTGAACAAGTTTGGTGGTGAGGAAAAAGAAGAAATGCTTATGAACTCCCTTAGGAAGGCTTATGACGGGACTTTTATGGCCAGTGGTGGTTATACAAAGCAGCTTGCGAATGATGACATTAAGCATGATAAGGCTGATCTGGTGTCATTTGGCAGGCATTTCATAGCGAATCCGGATTTGGTGTTGCGCTTCAAGCTCGACGCACCGCTCAATATGCATGATCGGTCTACGTTTTATACTTCTGATCCTGATGTTGGATATACAGATTATCCTTTCCTTGATCATGGCTGTGAAACATCTCTAATAGTGCATGCTTGATTATGTACTGTAACTACTGTTTTATTATAATAGTTCTAAATGACCATTGTGGTGTGATTAATGGTGTTACCACAATCGGACACTTAATGTTAAACTTTTCAATTAAGTAGTTTTCATATTCAAATTGTAAAATAAATAACGAAACATTGTTAATTGATATCATGATCATCTTATATGCATGTACAAATTTGTATGCCAACTTGAGAACATGTGTTCACTAGCCCATGACCACATGAAATATAGCAATTTATTACTAACCCATTTGATAGGACATTTTGTATTTTGCATTCTTAACAAACACATTTTCTACTAAGTTATACGGAGTAACTTACAATTTCTTTTAAATCACAGTTCTTATAATGTATTAGTGATAAGCCAAAAATTAATCAAATTATAATTATAGTTTTCTTTTAAAATAACTTATAATTATAGTTATTCGCCAAAAAAATATAATGCCAAAAAAATGTTATGTTCAAATTATCCGAACAGAGGGAGAAGAAACAAGGAATAAGGGCATAAATAGTACATATACCTTTCCGAAATACAAAAATACGACCATTTTTATATTTAGACAAAATAGTAATCGGATCTACCCCGTCTCGTTCTTCCCGTTCACCTAACCCCTGCATTGATTTCTTCCGATTCTCATTCGCCTACCACGTACCCTTTCATTTTCCATCTCCGAACTCCTCCCCCCCCCCCCCCCCCGCCCCAGCTCTACACCTCTAGTCTTTGGCTCGCAAGCTTCGGCCTCCTCCATTAGCCACACGACCTAACACAGCGGACTTCGATCCAGATGGTGAGATGAAGACGGCGTGGCTGCAGTGACGACGATGACCGTGCAGACGACGGATCTGGAGCTCCACCTATGTGATGGCTTCGATTGTGGCGGAGATGGCACAAATAGGGTGAGTTGAGGTGACGACGGCGTGGCTCTTGACTTACCTCTTCTTCTTCTTCTCCTTTCTTAGTCTTCAATCACTCGCCCGGATCTGGATCTGATTGCTCCGATTGCAATGGAGATGGCACTATTAGGGGTTTGGATCTGATATTGGTGACTAGGGTTGCAGTGGGGTGAGTTACAGGAGCAACAGTTGCAGGGCTGGGGTGTGTTGTGCAGCGATTTTACAGGGGCTGGGAGCTGGGGGTTAGGGGATGGAGCCTGTGGGGTCACTGTTTAGGGCGGCTGCGGTGGCGGCTATTGGCAGTTTCCGATTGATGGTGTCTGTGGGCTGAGTGTGGGGCATCAGGGGGTGACAAGGGTTGGGGCTAGAGAGGGGGCTAGTGAGGCTGCCCGTCGGAGAGTGGCGGTGGCAGGTTATCTGCGGTGGTGGGAAGTGGTGGTCGCTGGCGGTGGGTGAAGGTGGGAGGTCATGTGACTGGTGGTGACCGAAGGTGACGGGTCGTGGCTGGAGTCACTGTGGAGGTGTCACTTTGAGCGTAGGCCATGTCACTTTTGATCGGAGGTTGTGTCACTGTGGTGGTGTCGCCATGGTGGTGTTGGTGGAGGTCGTGTCATTATGGTGATGTCACTGGTGGCCGTGTAACTGTGGCGGTGTCACCGGAGGTCGTGTAACTGTGGCGGTATTACAGAAGGCCGTAAATGTGGCGGCGTCACTACGGAGCTGTCACTGCAAATGTGTTATTGTGATCGGTAAAGGCGGCGTATGGCGGGGGCAGTGATACGAATGATGGCAGCGGAGATGTCACTGCAAATGTGTCACCGTGGCCGGTGATGGTGGATATGTCACTAGAGCGGTGGTAACTGAAACGATGTCACTATAGCGGTAATAGTTACTAAGACGCTGATCACTTGAGCCGTAGTAGTAACTGAGACGGTTATCACGGGAATAATAATAACTAAGGCATTGGTCACTTGCACAGTTGTCACAAACTTTTCATATCCTAATATTTATGTTTAGAATTAATATTAAAATATTAAAATAAAAAAATAATTAAAAAAAAACAAATATTATAATAATATTATAGATTTATAGTCTTATGGATCACATTGAAAGAATAATGAATTACTCCCTCCGTCCCGAATTATAAGATACTTTTCGGTTTACGATGTTTGACCGACGATAAAGCAAACGGATCCCTGTCTGCACTCAAATTATTTTTTAGAAAAAAAAATAACATATTCAGAAACTACATTAAAGCCGCTACAAAACTTGCAAAAAACAATTCAAATTTCATAAAATTTTGATATATAAAGTAAGAGATTAAGAGTGATTTGTGTTGACAAGTGAATAGTAAAGATATCTTATAAAATGGGACAGAGGGAGTACTAATTTATTCCGGAGTAAAAAAAACGTTAGTTGTGATAGTCTTGCGCTACATCGGTAGTTTGGTACGGTGTTATAAACTTAAGGGTAAATTAGTAAAGAATGTGCTTCTTAGTCACATTTTTGGAAATGAAGAAAAAAGGTCTCTTTTTTGTCCATTACCTTTTTTTGTACTATTTGTGTCAAAACCCCAATAAACAAGCAGGCATTAAGGGCAAGGCCTTACTGGTGCAGGGCAGATTCTTGTTAATTAGTCACTTTTGGGCAGATTCTGGTTTTTGCTTTGCCATGGATATTGACAGATTGCCATGATAGTGTTCTGTTTTAGCTAAAACTAAACTATCTTGGGCTATGTTTGCTATGGACTAGTTAACACTTTGGTCAAAATATTTTTACTACTTGTTACTTTTTTTTTTACATATGTTTGTATGACTCCATAGTGCATAACCGCATTATACTTAAAGATAGCAAGCAGTGATGGTCCGATATGATGGATGTATTTGTATTGCTTGGTGGGAGTTGTTTGCCTTATGAAATATTTAATCTTAACATTTAGTAACTAGTGCTTGAATTATACTCCGTATAAACTTGGGATGCACCGCAGGTTTGCAGTATTAAGGAATCAGGATCGGTCATGTCTACCTTTTGGCCTATGGGCGATAATATTATTTTGAACCTATTTCCAAGACAGGCAATAAATAAAAATTATAATAAAATTGTCTAATAAAGATTATAAAATAAAGATGAAATTGACTTTATTATTATTTAAATTATATATTTGGGAAAAAGAAACAACACAAGTATCATCAATAATTGCTTTATTATTAATTTTTTCCAAGATCTCATGCTCAATGTTTAAAATTGTTTTAATCTTTTTTTAAGACATAGTCGATCACCCGAGAGCTTGTCCAATACCGTCAGTACCAGATATGCATCTCCTTCGCCCGCGCGAGAGACTTCTATGCCAGCCGGGAATCACTAGGACTGGGTGACAACGGGTCGACATATCTATACCTGTATCTCGTTTCCAAACGGGTAATCATCCCAGCGTAGCCACTACAATGCAGTTTCACCTAAGAAGAGACTTTGCCATTTCACTGGAGAAGGATCTGGACGCCGCTGTTGCTCCGCGGCGATACGGACTCGACCGAGATAATTGAGACAAGTTTGGGAATTGGGAAATATGGGCTGTCAAAAGATAATAGTATAAATTAATAATTTTACTAATATTAGGCTCGTGTACCTCTTTCGTCGTCATCAGCAGTCGGCACCACCACAAGTGTGTCGATCGTAGGCTCGTAGCCCTCTTTCAAGCAAGATGGCTACAGAGGATGGACAAATTGCGTTGTTTTAAACTACAAAGCCCTCAACTAATCAGGCAATTTGAGCCCATTTAAGGTGGGATGTGTGTTTGTTGAGCAGTACTATATATAGTACTGTGCAACATAACGTCGTTGTGACTTGTGAGTGTGTCAAAATAGTCATTGGCAAAAAGTGCAATATATAGTTGTGTGAGTGTGCACATAAAGGACTTGTAAAGCATAACCATAAAATGAAGTAACATGCATAAAGCAAACCGTCCAACATAAAACTCATGAGGCATAATTATAAAATTTGTATAAAAAAAAATGCATCAAACATGTAGGAAAGTGCATGAAGTAAACTATGCTAATGTGATCAGCCTAGCGAACATCATCATCACCCTAGTGCTGCAAAGGCTCTCACCTTCGGTGGGGTAAGGAGGATCGGATGTACGCATTCTTATCCCTATACTAAAGCACAAAGAGATTGTTTTCCAATGATCCATAGTAAAAGTCACACCAAAAAATTGCATGGACTAACTGTTACTTCATAACAAAGAAGTTCATACAGTTTAGTGAGTCGTTTTACTTTATTGCATCATATTCTCAAGCAAAAAAATAGTGAGTCTTTGGCTTCATTGCAAATGATAGATATGTTAGGGTTCTGAGATTGAGAAAGGGTCAAGGGACAACTTGGGGTAGCAAGGTACCCGATTGATGTAGTAACCTGCCTGCAAGGGTAATTCTTCTTCTTGCGCGTGGCTGGAAGAGGACAGAGGACGGGAGAGTCCGTGACTTCTCTCTTGGAATAATTTTAATGATCGATGATGATTAGTATTCCTCCAAAGAATTATAAATAAGCATTATGCTTTTACATAATTAAGTCTCATTCTAACTAAAACTCTAAATTTGCATTCAAGAATTTTCACTAAAATAAAGTACTTAGCTATGGATTAGCTAAAATGATTGCTAAGAATGCTACTTCACTAAAACTCTAAATTAGCATTGGCGCAGCTAAAATAAATTGCACCAACTACATTCAAGAATCCGGCTTGACTTACATTGCAATTTCCTTAGTTGCAATTCACGGCTTGACTTGATGAATTGAAAGTAATTTTGCTGTCTAGAATTCTTCAATTCACTGATTCAAACATTATTTTATGATTACAAACCATGGGAGCAACTTGACACACGATTCATGACCTCAAAATTACATCATTAGTTTGAATCCTCAAGAAAAAATTTGCCAAGGTGCTGTCGGCACAAAAATACTACTCCCATAGAATTAATAATAGGGTTGTTTATGTAATTTACATTAAACTCTTGTACTATAAATATATCTGTCATGACTCCTTAGAGAGTATCATACTATCATGTTTCATTATTTCACATGGTATGAAGAGCACAGTAAAAACCTAATTCTTTTTTTTTTTTCGATTCTCTCTCTACTACCGGCGCCGCACGGATGTCCTCCTCAGCCTCCAACACCTCTGCCGCGATCAGCTCTTCTGCAGCGTCCAGCACGCCCTTGACAACCGGCGCTCCTCTCTCCTTTGGAACGCAGTCGGTCCTCAGTTCCGTAGAATCCCGGGCGTGACGTTCTAGCTCCT